AGAATTTCGCTTAAAAAAATTGAAAAAAATTGAAAAAACTAGGAAAATTACAGCTTTCTAAAAGGAAACTCCAATTTTTTTAGCTAATCAAAAGGAAAAGAAAGACGAAAACTATTCCAATAGTGTACTTTGAACTTAATGAACTTTTTACCGTAATCAGAAATTCGTTTTGGGACCTGAGTATTGGGTTGTCCAGTTATGAATGCGCGTTTTTTACTATTTTGTAAATTTCTCAAGATACCGAAATCAAGAAAAAGATATATATGAGTATTATTCGAAAGCTGAAGATCTCCTCTACATTTTGATATAAAAAGTTTTTGAATTTGTTCAGCTTTTGGGCAAATTGACTGCACAGAAGAAGAGGTGGCCAAAAAATGGAAGGGTGTCTTTGGATCAAGTTTTGGCTCCACTCAAATTGAGTTAACCGTTTGATATTTAGCCAATAGATATCTCAAATTATAAAATTTTTAAAAAAATTACAATTTAATAGCATCTATTGCTTTTTCTGAGCGGTTATTTTACACCATAAAACTTGAGGAATAGCTAAGCTGGAATGGGTTTTTTCACCTCTTCTTCTGTGCAGTCAATTTGCCCAAAAGCTGAACAAATTCCAAAGCTTTTTATATCAAAATGTAGAGGAGATCTTCAGCTTTCGAATGATATATAACACTCATCTACATCTGTTCGGTATCTTGAGAAATTTACAAAATAGTAAAAACGCGCATTCATAACTGGACAACCCAATAGATGTAGATTCGTGACAAAACATCGGGTTTCTCGGGAAACAGAATCGGGAAACAGAATACTCATGAATTTATCGATGAATTCGTTCAATCATACGAAAAACATATGAATACGAAAATTTATAGATATAAAAAAGACTGTAAAGCAGAAATTTTCGAAACATTACGCGCATTTTATCATGGGAAAACGTTGTGCAATCCTGTTTTCCACAAAAACTTTCATGAAAAGTTGTGCTGTTTTAGAAACAAGAGAATCAAAAGAACAATCAAGAGAACAAGAGAATCAAAAGAAACATTTAAATATTTAAATACAGAATATTTAAATAGTGTAATAGTACTTCACCGTCACAGTGTCTCTCGTTGTTTTTCAAAAAAAAGCAAGCCAGGATCTAAACAAGGATCTGAACCAGGATCTGGACCAGGATCCGAACAAGGATCCGAACAAGGATCTGAACAAGGACCTAAACAAGGATCTGAACCAGGATCTGGACCAGGACCCGAACAAGGATCTGAACAAGGATCCGAACAAGGAGCCGAACCAGGATCCGAACCAGGATCCGAACAAGGATCTAAACAAGGATCTAAACAAGGATCTGAACCAGAATCCGAACCAGAATCTGAACCAGATTTCGAACCAGGAGCCGAACCAGGATCCGAACAAGGATCCACACCAGGATCCGAACGAGGATCCGAACCAAGGTCCAACAGTGATCGGACTATCCACTAGTCTATGAGCTTGTTTTTGGTAGCTGAAGAATAGCCAAAATCATCAACTTTGAGACCATTTTTATGCCTCGAAGAGATGCTATCTTTTTCCCGTAAATTAATATGTCAGAAATCCGAGGAAACGTTTTAAAAATCATCAACTTTGAGGCAATTTTGAACCGATTTCCATCAAGCTTTTTTTGGCTTTTGATAGCATTTTCGAAATCATCTATTTTTTTTCCAAGAAATGTCGCTAGCCATAGCTCAATGATCAATCCGTGCTCAATGATCAATGATTTCCTAGTAAGTAGATGTAGATTGAAAAAGGTATCGGGTTTCTCTGTAGGGAAACACTCGTGAATTGATCTAAACTTTAGTAATAATCAATTTGAATTAGAGATTAGAACAAATTCACGAAAGGACCTAGTGGTCGACTAAAGGACCTAGTGGTCGACTAAATGACCTAGTGGTCGACTAAAGGACCTAGTGGTCGACTAAAGGACCTAGTGGGCGGCTAAAGGACCTAGTGGTCGACTAAATGACCTAGTGGTCGACTAAAGGACCTAGTGGTCGACTAAAGGACCTAGTGGTCGACTAAAGGACCTAGTGGGCGGCTAAAGGACCTAGTGGTCGACTAAATGACCTAGTGGTCGACTAAAGGACCTAGTGGTCGACTAAAGGACCTAGTGGTCGACTAAAGGACCTAGTGGTCGACTAAAGGACCTAGTGGGCGGCTAAAGGACCTAGTGGTCGACTAAAGGACCTAGTGGTCGACTAAAGGACCTAGTGGTCGACTAAAGGACCTAGTGGTCGACTAAAGGACCTAGTGGTCGACTAAAGGACCTAGTGGGCGACTAAAGGACCTAGTGGTCGACTAAATGACCTAGTGGTCGACTAAAGGACCTAGTGGTCGACTAAAGGACCTAGTGGGCGGCTAAAGGACCTAGTGGTCGACTAAATGACCTAGTGGTCGACTAAAGGACCTAGTGGTCGACTAAAGGACCTAGTGGTCGACTAAATGACCTAGTGGTCGACTAAAGGACCTAGTGGTCGACTAAAGGACCTAGTGGTCGACTAAATGACCTAGTGGTCGACTAAAGGACCTAGTGGTCGACTAAAGGACCTAGTGGGCGGCTAAAGGACCTAGTGGTCGACTAAATGACCTAGTGGTCGACTAAAGGACCTAGTGGTCGACTAAAGGACCTAGTGGTCGACTAAAGGACCTAGTGGTCGACTAAAGGACCTAGTGGTCGACTAAAGGACCTAGTGGTCGACTAAATGACCTAGTGGTCGACTAAAGGACCTAGTGGGCGACTAAAGGACCTAGTGGTCGACTAAATGACCTAGTGGTCGACTAAAGGACCTAGTGGTCGACTAAAGGACCTAGTGGTCGACTAAAGGACCTAGTGGGCGGCTAAAGGACCTAGTGGTCGACTAAAGGACCTAGTGGTCGACTAAAGGACCTAGTGGGCGGCTAAAGGACCTAGTGGTCATACTGATGACAAAGATTTTTCGTCTCAACTCATTTTTCAACTTTTATTTGTTCCTTATTTTGCAGAAAGTTCTCCTAACTTTTTTTTAGTTTTCAAGAGGAGATTTAAGCGCATCAAATGACTATAATAGTTTAGTTTTTCTTTGAATTTACATACAATTATTACTAAAACAGTAACGACTACGCGAAAAAGAGAAAATAAAAGGTATTAGGCTGAGCTAGGTTGTTTTATCATTATAAAATTCAAAATTTATTTATTTCTAAAAAACCAGAGACAATTAAAGAAAGATAATTCTGTTTTTATAATTATAATTTAAAATTTGCAACCTTTAAAAGCTTTAATCAAATTTTCTTCAATTCTTTCAAGTTCTTTTAAAGCTTCGAAATTTTGATTGAAAATCAGCAGCTTTTGGATAAATCAAGGCCGAGAAACACACCAAACGCACCGGTGCCTGTGTACTGCCCATTGAAAAGTGACCTTTAAAGCTTTAATTCAATTCTTTAAAGTTCTTTAAAGCTTTGAAATTTCAATGCATTTTTTACCCATTTGCAAGCTTATTTGGGAGATTTTGATTTCAGATTCTGAATCTCCATACTCGATTTAGTAAGGATTATGTGGTTCGGAAATGAAAGCTCACAGAAAGTTTGTGCCTTTCCCTACAAACTAGGGAATTTCGTTAACTTAAGGTAGCTTTTGACTTAAGAAAAAGCCTATCTAATGCAGTTTTTCACGCTGATTCCGAATCTGCAATCAGTTTTTGCCAAACGCTTCTCTATCGCGAGATCTGAATGGCAATAAATAGGTCAAATTTAGGGTTCACCTGTTGGTCAAAAAAGTCAAAAAGCTGTTTTTGCCAAACGCTTCTCTATCGCGTTTTTGGGGTCTCTTTAAGAGGACGACATCTTCAGTCAACGGTCTCGTTGTTGCAGTGGTTAGTGCGCGCGTCTACCGGGCGTATCCTCTTTTGGATCCCGAGGGTTCGAGTTCTCTGTCTATATAAGGCAACCTTTATTTTACTCTTTTTTGCCCATTCTATGAGCTTTTATGCCAAATGTATGACAGAGGACTCGAACCCTCGGGGTCCAAAAGGTCATTTGCCCGGAAGACGCGCGCACTAACCACTACACCACCGAGGCCGTTGACTGAAGACAGTGCATTACGCTTTTAAAGAGATCCCAAAAACGCGATAGATAAGCGTTTGTCAAAAACTGCTTTTTGACTTGAGAAAAAGCCTATCCAATGCAGTTTTTCACGCTGATTCCGAATCTGCAATTAGTTTTTGCCAAACGCTTCTCTATAGCGAGATTTATGGCATACAAGTTTTTGGGGTCTCTTTAAGAGGAAGACGTCTTCAGTCAACGGCCTTGTTGGTGTAGTGGTTAGTGAGCACGTCTGCCGGGCGTCTGCCCTTTTGGACCCCGATGGAAAGACTTATAAAGAGAATTCAAGCCTAACTAGGGAATGCTGTTAACTTATCGTGACAACGCGCCTTATATAGTCAGAGGTGTAGTGGTTGGTGCGCGCGTTTTTGTAGCGTTTTTGCGCTTCTCTATAGCGAGATTTATGGCATACAAGTTTTTGGGGTCTCTTTAAGAGGACGGCGTCTTCAGTCAACAGCCTCGGTGATGTAGTGGTTAGTACGCGCGTCTGCCGGGCGTCTGTCCTTTTGGATTCTTTGAGTTAGGTTGTTTTATCTTTATAAAATTCAAAATTTATTTAACCAGAGAGAATTAAAGAAAGATAATTATGCTTTTATAATTATAATTTCAAAATTTGCGACCTTTAAAAGCTTTAATTCAATTTTTTTCTTTTAAAGCTTCGAGATTTTGATTGAAATCAGCAGCTTTTGGATAAATCAAGGCCGAGAAACAAACGAAAACGTGGACGGTCCATTGAAAAGTGACCTTTAAAGCTTTGATTCAATGCTTTAAAGTTTTTTAAAGCTTTGATTCAATGCTTTAAAGTCTTTTAAAGCTTCGAAATTTCAATTCACTTTAAACAATTGCAATTCTATTATAAAATCATAAAACAAAGCGGTTAAAGCAATTTTAAAAATTTAATCTTTGTTTCTGAATACCATTATAGCTGTGATAATGAAACCAGCGATGAAGAAAATGAAGAAAACTCCGATCGCTACTCGTCGCATCTAAAAGTTGAATGTTTTAAGTGAAAAGATCGATTGTTAGCTTGAATTGTAGCGATTGTTAGGCTTTAGCTTGAACTGACCTCGTTCAGTGATTTGAATTTGAATTTGAATCTAGTTTTTGTTTTTGTTTTTCTAGTGGCAGATGGCAAAAAAAGCTTTTCGCATCTCAAACCTTATACTTCGCGCTGTTTGTTTTCCCTCAATTGCTACTTATCGTAAAGCGTTCATTACCTACTGCCGCCCTTTGCTCGAGTAGGCCATTTTTGTTTGGTCTCCCTGCCTCCAAAAGTTAATTTCCTTGGTTGAGAGCGTTCAGCGTCGTTTCAGTAGGAGGGCGTATGCCCGTTGTTTCCCATCGAAAGAAATTCCTTGCTATTCTGATCGACTTGCTCTTTTTGACCTTAAACCCTTATCCCATCGCCGCATTTATTTTGATTTGGTCTTATGCTATAAAATCATCTTCTCTCCTAACTCTCATCCGGAACTTAAAGGACTCTTTAAGATTTCGAATCACGCCAGAAGAACTCGTAGTCACAACTTTCAGATTACCCCCTTTCAAAGCTTTCATAACCGCCAACTGTATCATTCTTTTGCTTGTCGTGTTCCTCGTGTTTGGAATAAGTTACCTTGTGATATTTTTTCTTCTCTGAACTATTTTAAATCCTCAATATATAAGCTCGATCTTGTAGCTCTGTCAATTTTAAATTAATTTTTAATGTCATATATACACGTGTCTAATTGTAGTTGTGTTTGTATATCAATTATCTTTCTTCGTCTACGCTGTTCAATCTGTTTGCATTGTCACTTTTCCTTGTCGGATAAAGTATATATACTTAGTTTTTGATCAGATTTCCTTAATTTTTCTTTAAAAAACTTTCCTTAAATCGAATTTTTTCAATTTTTTTCGATTTTTTCGACTTTACGAATGGTAATTGGCTAAAGAATCGATTGAAAAATTGAATTTTTGAATTTATAGTTATGCGAAAAAGATATTCAGTGTAATTTGAAGGTAATAATAGATTTGTAAATCTTTTATTCATTGTCGCTGTCGCCTTTCAAACGTTTTCTAATTATCAATCAAGTTTTCTGAGATCAAATACTTATTTGTATAATTTGAATCTTTTAAAGTTACATTTACAGTTTACATTTTAATCTAAGAATAAACTTTTACAGGATGTTAAGCAAGACATTTTGTCAAGACAGCAAGACAAATCCAGCCTAAATCCGTCCACGTTTTGTTCTCGGCTTCTCGTTTTGTTTCTCGGCCTTGATTTATCCAAAAGCTGCTGATTTCAATCAAAATTTCGAAGCTTTAAATGAAAAAAAAAATTGAATTAAAGCTTTTAAAGGTCGCAAATTTTGAAATTATAATTATAAAAGCATAATTGTCTTTCTTTAATTGTCTCTGGTTTTTAGAAATAAATGAATTTTATAAAGATAAAACAACCTAGTTCAAAGAATCCAAAAAGGACGTAAATACTGTCTCCTTACCTGTCCTGGCTTTAGATTAGCCTTATAGCTTATAGATCAGCCTTAACTTGACCTACTGTAAATACTGTAATAGTACCCCACCCCCCTCGTACAGTCGCGTAGTCGCAAAAGTTTTTTAGTATTTAATTTTTTGCAAAGCATCCGTACTTTCAAAAAATGCGTGTTTGGTATCAAAAAATAGCTGAAATTCAGGGCTATTTTTTGATACCAAACCGAGCATTGTAGCATAAACCAGTGCCGAGAAAAACGCGTTCAAAGCTAGAGCTACGCAACACTCCGCACAAAAACTTTGCCTGCTAGTGGATCCGAACCAAGATCAATAGGTTCCGAGCGCAGGCACACTAACCACTAAGCTACGAGCTGGCTTTTGAGATGGCGTAAAAAAGGCCTTTCCGCCGGCAAAAATCACTATTACAGTATTTACGGTAGTCTAGCTTTGAACGAGTTTTTCTCGACACTGGTTTTTGCTACAATGCTCGGTTTGGTATCAAAAAATAGCCCTGAATTTCAGCTATTTTTTGATACCTAAGCGCGCATTATAGCATAAACCAGTGTCGAGAAAAACGCGTCCAAAGCTAGACTACCTTAAATACTGTAATAGTGATTTTTGCCGGCGGAAAGGCCTTTTTTACGCCATCTCAAAAGCCAGCTCGTAGCCTAGTGGTTAGTGTGCCTGCGCTCGGAACCTATTGATCTTGGTTCGGATCCACTAGCAGGCAAAGTTTTTGTGCGGAGTGTTGCGTAGTCTAGCTTTGAACGAGTTTTTCTAGGCACTGGTTTATGCTACAATGCTCGGTTTGGTCAGTTTTTGCATCAGTTTTTGCCAAACGCTTTTAAAGGTTGCTTCTCAATCTCCAGGAAAAGGGAGCCGGTGGTCTAGTGAATAGTGGGATGGCCTCTCGGTTGTAAGGTTGGGGTTCGGTCCCGCCCTTGGTTTTTGATTTTGTTTTCTTTAAATGTAATTTTCAATCGATTCTTTAGCCAATTACGATTCGTAAAAATAGACTTTTTAGCTAGACTTAGTCAAGTTCTTAGCTAGACTTAGTCAAGTTCCTAGCTAGACTTAGCCAGGTTCTTAGCTAGACTTAGTCAAGTTCTTAGCTAGACTTAGTCAAGTTCTTAGCTAGACTTAGTCAGGTTCTTAGCTAGACTTAGTCAAGTTCTTAGCTAGACTTAGTCAAGTTCTTAGCTAGACTTAGTCAAGTTCTTAGCTAGACTTAGTCAAGTTCTTAGCTAGACTTAGTCAAGTTCTTAGCTAGACTTAGTCAGGCTCTTAGCTAGACTTAATCTTTACAAAACTTCAATCTTCTTCAATTACTTATATTCTAGAATAATTCTTAAATATTCTAAAACAAAAAACGAACTCGATACTGATTGTAATGATGCTCACAATCATCGACGACAACAACTCGTGGACTTGTGTAAACGGTGTGCATTGGAGGAGCTTCAACATATTGGATTTGAACGGGATTTGCTGTTGGATAAGCTGTTGGATAAGCTGTTGGATAAGTTGAATATGCGGGAGGACTTTGATTCGTTGAATTTGAATAGTTCTCCATTGTTGAGCACTGTTGAGCACTTTGAAAACAAGAAAATTTTATTTTTGACGACTCTTATCGAAAAAAATGACAAAATGGCTGAGACAGAATGGCTTTTGAATTTTTTCAATCAATTTTCTTATCTTTGTGCTGACTCATCGAACTTTTTGGTGTTTGGTGAGTTTTTGGCTAAATAAATAACTTTATCAACTAAAATGTTTCCCTTAGAATTGTACTCGAAAATTGCTCGAAATTGAAAACGTTTCCCTTCTTATGCAATCAACTAAACAAGTCAAATTGAGGTTTATTGGGTACAAGACAAGTCCAAGATCAAGACAGAACAAAGCCACTAATACAGTCATGCACAAAAGTATTGGCCCTTAGACTGAGAAAAGACAAAAATCAATATTTGGTAGAGCTTTCTTTGATCGCAATCATTGCTTGAAGTCTTTTTGGCATAGATCTTGCAAAAATGGATCAGTGGCATAGATCAGTGGCATAGATCAGTGGCATAGATCAGTGGCCAACTTGTTGTTCAAAAGCTGTCGAATGAAGAACCAGAGTACGATCTTTGAGGTCAATAGCTTCTCTTTCAGTTTTAACTTCACAAATGCTCATCAGTGCTCTACTAAATTCAAATCGAGGTTGTAAGGAGGAGCTGACACAAGTTGGACTCCACTTGAACTTAACCATTTTGGCAGATGTGCGTTTATACATCCACAGATCCACATTCACCATTAGCAAGGTGCACAACTCGACCCATCAACAATTGAGAACAACAACAATTGAGACTTGTGGCATAGGGCATTGTCCTAGTACAGCAGCCATCTCTCCCCAATGTTTCCATTTGAAAATAGTAGATGATTCTCCAAGATGTCCTTGTAACGTTTAGCATCAAGTGTTAAGTTGAGGAAAACAAGGAAACCTGGTGAACTTCTCGACATAGCTGTCGAATGAAGATCCAGAGTACGACCTTAGAGGTAAATAGCTTCTCTTTCAGTTTTAACTTCACAAACGCTCATCAGTGCTTTATTAAATTCAAATCGGAGTTGTAAGGAGGAGCTGACACAAGTTGGACTCCATTTTAACGTAACCATTTGGGAAGACGTGCACGTTCACCATTAGGCGCACAACTCGGCCCATCAACAATTGAGAACAACAACAATCGACCGTAGAAAAGGACATGGTTTTTAAAAATGGCTAACTGGACTACATAGCTAATTTCGGGTCTAGTTTTCTCAATTTCTTAATCCTTCAAAATTTAGCTATATTCTTTAGTATTTTCTCAATTTTACACAAATTTTGATTGAATTTAATCGGAAAATTACGTAGTTTTAAGGAAAATAATCACTTTTTTCTGGCGATTGAATCAAATTTTCGACCCAGAATGGAAAAAAGTACCTTGTCGACTCATTCAAATCAGATTTTCTTTAACGTATTCTTATTGAATTGAGAAATCTTGCTTTCAATGTTTAAGCCGGATTCTAGTTTAAGAAGTTTTATCTTTTGGATTTATACAATATCATTTTCGTTTTCGTTTCTGCTATTCCTACTTGCCGGCTATTTGGTGGCTTTTCAAAAGTCTTTCGCAACGAAAGCTTATAAATGGATTATTGGGATACAATTGGTAAAAAAGAAAGGGGAACTCGGATTTCTTGGGGGTGACGCATCGTCGACGTGGCGCAGTGGCGCATCGTCGACGCGGCGCAGTGACGCATCGTCGACGTGGCGCAGTGACGCATCGTCGACGTGACGCAGTGACGCATCGTCGACGCGGCGCAGTGGCGCATCGTCGACGCGGCGCAGTGGCGCATCGTCGACGTGGCGCAGTGACGCATCGTCGACGCGGCGCCTAGAAGATGAACCACGTGGCGGTCGCCCTGAGACCTGTTCGGATGACCAAATAAGACGCTCCACAACGAGCACGTAGTTTGAAAAAAAAACATTTGTCTTCAAATCAAAAATCTAAGCACTAACAATTCTTAAATGATGTCCAACTAAGAGAAAAAATGCAAAAAGAATCGATTTCGACTTGTCAATTTTTTGTTGATAGGTCGAGAAATTTTATCTTTTGACCTAATCAACTCTCCTAAGATATCCCAGTTGCAATTGTTCCAATTCTACTCTCCTGGGCCAATTTTTTGCGTAGATTCCAAAAAACACACTTTCAGCACGATTTGACGACGATATCGCGATGAAAAGTGACTTTGAAAATTTCTAGACTTCAAGTTTGGTGTTCAGAAAGGCAAAAAAACCCTGAATAAAATAGAAAACATCGAAAAACTGATACCATCTTGTAGAACTCAACCTGAGCTTTCAGAATATATTAGATTTTTGATTTGAAGTCAAAAAATTTTGTACTCGTTGTGCGCTCGTCTACAGGTTAGCTGGCTGGCTGGCTGGTTGGTTGGCTGGCTGGTTGGCTGGCGGCGCTGCTGGTTGGCTGGTTGGCTGGCTGGTTGGCTGGCTGGCTGGCTGGTTGGCTGGCTGGTTGGCTGGCTGGTTGGCTGGCTGGTTGGCTGGTTGGTTGGCTGGCTGGTTGGTTGGCTGGCTGGCTGGCTGGCTGGTTGGCTGGTTGGCTGGCTGGTTGGTTGGCTGGTTGGCTGGCTGGTTGGCTGGCTGGCTGGTTGGCTGGTTGGTTGGCTGGCTGGCTGGTTGGCTGGCTAGCAAGATTTCACTGAAATACTCTCTTCAGATAGCGGCTTTTGCGATTGATATTGTGATCGCGATCACGAAACCGTTGTGTTTGATCCGATCGATGATCGTTTTATTTCAAACTGGATGGATCGATTCGATTGGAAAGGCTGTCATTATTATTGTAAGTTGCTAGAAATTCGAAGTTGTTATTTAAAAAATCAGCCGTGAAATCAACCAAAAAAAAGCCAAAACCCGCCTAAAAAATCCGCGGAGGGCTTTTCTAGCTAGATTTCTGGAGGGTGACGCATCGTCGACGTGGCGCAGTGGGGAGCACGCTCGCCTAGAACCCACAAGATCCGGGTTCGACGCCCCCTAGCCCCATTCAATTTTGGTTTTTTGGCTTTTATTTGAAATTGTACAATAGATTCTAAGGTTTTCTAAAGAAGTTTTAGCTTTATTGGTCGAAACAGGACCGAGAAAAAGCCTGTACAGACAGACAGACACTGCTCTTTTATATATAGTAGCTCTTTAATACAAGCGATCTTTAATACAATATCTTATCCGGTTCTTACTGGACAGACTTAAGCTTAAGCAGGATTGTTCCCGAAAGAACCTGAAAGAGCAGGATCTTTCCTGAAAGAGCCAGATCTGCCCACCGTACGGTCCAGAAAATTCCAATCTTTGGAGAAATTTCGACTTGAATTGGCACAAAAAGTACTTTGTTCAGCCAAAGGCCGATCCAGATCTGGTATCAAATCTATCTTTGACCTGAATTAGCTTATAGATCCTTGGCTACAATAGCTAAGAAAGGGCTCAACTATTTTTCTGACTGGTTGACTCAACTACTGGCTAGCTGGCTGGCTGGCTGGTTGGCTCAACTACTTTGCTTTGGCATGGCTTTGCCTGGCCCGGAAGAAGCAATTGTTGCAATCTGTGCAATCTGAAAATTGATCAGCCAGGCTTAGATGTGCTAGATAAGCTTTATTTATTATATAGCTAAATTTAGCCTATTTAGCTTACTATATATTGGGTTGGGGAGAATGAGTCGGCGCCGAAAATGAAAAAAATGTCTAAAACTTCTATTCGACTTCGTCAAATAATATGCGTTTGATATGAGTAGAATGGTTAACTAATTCTCTACAAAATCACATTTAAAAGAAAATTCAAACAGCGCCTCCGCTCAAGAAAAAGCCATTTTTTCACAAAAATTACAAACTGTGATCTAGAAAAAACCATTGCTGGGATCTTCCTGCAAATTTGGCAACTTAAGTAATTGAATGTGCTCTATCTTTTTTATATAAACACCAATGAAGGTTTATGTGAAAGAAACTGTTCAAATGATGAGTCGGACTCTTTGCCATTTTAACCAGCTGCGTTTGGAAGTTCATAAACTCCACGAAAGAAAAGCTTTGTGGAATCTCTCAAAAGTGATTTTGTAGAGAAATAGTGGATCCTTTTGATGAAACCAAACGTATGTTTAAAGAAGGCTTTATGTGTGCAAAAAGTCCCTTTAAAGTTTGGCGCCGACTCATTCTCCCCAACCCAATAGCTAAAGCTTATCTGGCTGCCATGTAGCTTTCTGAGCGGGGCTCAAGTCCTGCCTAAAAAACGATCATTCCACCATTTCAGTCTCTCTATTTCTTGTTGGTTCAATTCCACGTAATCGTTTATTTCTACGGTGCCATTTACAAGACAGAAAGCCTTCACATAAAGCGTCCATATTTGAGTTTAATCGCCAAATTCTTGTTCTTCATTTTCGCCGTTCCAATGGTCGTTTTATCGCAGATTCTCATTTTAAATGGATATTTTTCAAATAATTATTCAAATAATCGAGAATCGGTAAGAGATTTAAAGCTTTAAAAGCTTTAAAAGATTTAAAAAGCTTCCAAAGCTTTCAAAGCTTTTGAAGCTTCTTGTTCTTCATTTTCTTTAGCTTTACAAGCTTTAAAAGCTTCTTGGCCTTCATTTTCTTCAGCTTTACAAGCTTTACAAGCTTTAAAAGCTTCCAAAGCTTTAAAAAACTTTGAAACTTTGAAGAACTTTGAAGAAAGTTTTCCAGCTTTGTTTGGCTTTTGAAAGCCTTTGCAACGAGACTGAAATCTTTCCATTTCATTTTCACTTAACTGAATATCAATTGTTTATTGTGAAATTGTTATATATTAATCTAATGCTATTAGCGATTTGTTATTATGCACTTTGCGTTATCATTTTGGTCGATTATTTTCGGATTCAAAAGATTTCAAGTCAACGAACGAGAGAAATGCAAAGATATTTCACGATTATGTTTTTGTTGCAGGTGAATTTTAAGCAGAAGCTCAGTTTATCGCTAATAGCATGCGTCAGAAGAGATCCAAAAATGGCTACGCTAAACTTTTTATCTCCAA